TTAACTGAGAGAATTATTGAATAAATAACTGTCAACCAGTTTTACAACATTGACATCAAACAACAGTTTCATAATATTTACATCAAACAACAGTTTCATAACATTTACATCAAACAACAGTTTCATAACATTTACATCAAACAACAGTTTCACAACATTTACATCAAACATCAGTTTCATAACATTTACATCAAACAACAGTTTCACAACATTTACATCAAACAACAGTTTCACAACATTTACATCAAACAACAGTTTCACAACATTTACATCAAACAACAGTTTCACAACATTTACATCAAACAACAGTTATATAAACAGTCATTTACATCAAATAACTGTTCTACAACATCTACATTAAACAATAGTTTCACAATATCTACACTAAACAAAAATTGGTGAAAACATAAATTATTAAATTCAGCAAACTTTAATTTTTTAACAAATGAAATCGTACAACTGGTTATTATGTACTTAATTCTGAAGTTAAAACAAAGAGATGATTGAATTTTGATAATTTTTTGGTGTTGCAGGTGATTGCTTAAGAGTGCTAAGTTTCTGAATATTAAATTATGTCTGAAACTGTAAATATTAAGTTATGTATAGAATTATGAACAAATTTGTATTAAAATGGCTAGTCTCAGTTACATACAAACAGAAGCAAGATAACAATGTTATCTTGTAATCAAGTTTGATTGCATAATTTGCAAAATGTGTGTGGTTGTTGCAAAAAAATAAATAATAAAAAAAAAATTGATATCAAAAAGTAATTACACCAAAAGCTAATTGCAACACTTTACTGATATCAAACAAACATTTCCTGTTTAAGAAAGTATTAATCGCAAAATGTGGGATGTTTTGTGGTTTTCAATTTTTTATTTTGTGATACATAGAGAGATTTTTCCTCAGTTAGAGAGAGGTTACCTCATAGAGAGGTTTTTCCTCAGTTAGAGAGAGGTTACCTCATAGAGAGGTTTTTCCTCAGATTTATTAATCAAAACTTATTAAAGAATACTTAATATATTTAAATACAGTACGCTAAAAACTTTTAAAAAAAACAGCTTACACAAAAATAGGCAAGGGATTCTCAGTTAGGCAACGCACTGCAATAGTGGTAGGTGTTATAACTAATTCAAGAGATGATGTTTCTGATTTTGCTCTATCTTCTTTAACTGCATTTAGATATTATGAAACATAATGTAGATCTTGTTAAAGTATCATCATTACCAATTACTCTACATTTTGATAAAAAGACAGTAAAGAAGTTCATAAATGGAAAAAACTATTAACTTGACCTACTTGTTGCTTCCATCAGGATTGATGAATAGTTTCTTAGGATTCCTCATCTTCACTCTTGTACTGGAGAAAAATATTTTATTTCTGATATATTAAAAGGGTTTCTGTAAATGGTGGTAACAAAAAAGGTGCGTGCATTAGGTTAGCCACATATCTTGACAAATCTCTACTTCTCCTAGCATGCAGACATTACATCTATGAAAGACATACTTGCTATTGTTTTGCAGTGGAAGCTATTAAAGTTATACCACTTATATGGAACCATCAGGTCGTAATAGTATTTATAGAATTTATAAGACAAATATACAAAAACATGTTACAAAACCATCAGGCTGTAATAGTATTTATAAAATTTATAAGACAAATATACAAAAACATGTTACAAAAATCAAAACAATTAAACAGTTGCCATCTTTGTGGTAAGCATAATGTGATAAACCAATTAACATGATATAAAAAAATTACTCTTTATAGTTGTACTTTATGGCTAATTCATTAGGCATAAAGTACAACTATAAAGCAGAACTATTACAACAAACAATAAAAACCAACATATATTATAAAAGGGATTACTTTAAGAAAGAGATTAAAAATATATCAGTGTTAAAATAAAATTGAAAATTATGTATTATAATACCAGATTCTCGACTGAAAATGGATATAGTATTGACCCTTATAGCGATTCAATACTCTGGTATATGATGTTTTGAATGTTTTAATGCTCATTCTTAGAAACCCCCGTCAGGGTATCATCCTCAAAACAAGCAAGTAAAACCCACTTCTACGTCTGCATCAAAGCCTTTTGTTGCAACATTTAAGCTCTCTATTGCAATATTTAAGAGGACATTCTACTGTTCAGCCAAATATCCTAACTTGTTTCATTTCAAACAAAGTAAGCTGATATACTTTTAAGAAAGTTAATAAAACATGTTGCGCAAGAAATAACATTAGGAGATAAAAACTTATAAGTGACCTTATTCCTAAGTACTATAGTACGAATTTAAGGCAAACTAACTCACAATAAAAAAAAAAGTTGTTTAAGATAAAAGTCTTACCATAATTTAATATTAAATAAGAACAAGTCTTATGAAGGATATTTTGCGCTATGTCAATGTGCAGTTTATGAAACGCACGTAAGTTGTAAAATTGTACACAGGTGTTGTATGATGTATTTTGCGGTTAATCAATGAAAAGAAAAATGTCCTTCAAGATAAGCCTCAGTAAATAATAATGCTATTGGTCAGAGAAAGTGTTACTTGATTGGAAGACAAAAGTGTAAGGTGATTGGTTAGTAATTTTTTTGCTTTGGAGAGTATAAAAATAAAAGATATAGGAAACATTTGAAAGTGTCCTAAATCATTAAAAGAACATATTATGACTTTTCAGTTTTCTCTTGTTACTGAATTGTAATCAATTGTTTTTATACCAATTTTTAAATTTCGAAGTAAATTTTGGTTTTTAAAAAAAAAAAATATTTTTCAATAGTTATTATGGCGAGCGTTTGGGCCAGCTTGTAATATATTTTGTTTTTGGTGCGGTTTATAGGATAGACAAATCTTGAAGATTTAGGTAAAAACATTGAGATAGGGTCGCCACATCAGCTAACGAAGGGTCAGTCGGAAAACCGACCTCCTCAAATTGTTGACCTATTGGCAACAAGGTTTCTTTTTTAATACCTTCACCATGCAAGATTACCAAAATATAGCAAGGAGAATGCCCCACAACATTCAGGAATACACTAAAACAGACTTGCGAGATGGAAAGCAACAAAGAAAGATCACTGAGTCTGCCAATGAAGGGCCATTTGGAAACCGATATCTTCAAATCAATGACTTATCAGTAATAAAGTGTCATTACAGATCAACCTCACTTTGTCCGTTTTATTAAATTTGTTTAAAATAATAAAATATTTTAAATTCAAAAAAAATGAAATATGTTTTGACTAGCTGCAGTTGCTTTTGTTATTAAATTGCGATAAATACTATTTTACCATTTTTAAATTTTTTGTTTTAAAAGGTGGTGTATAAAAAGGGAGTATTATTCAGTGATTAAGTTTGAGTTAAGTGAGTTTTGTTTATGTTAGATTTAAGTAAGTGTTTATTCAGTGTTTTGTAAGTAGGGTTAGTTATTGTGTTTTGCGTTTGTAGTGTTTTAAATGTTAACGTTTTATATGTCATTTAATGTCATTATTTGTATGAATCTCTGTGTAAATAATTTGGTTCGTCTTGTTCAGTTTCGATGTTATTATAATCTCTTTGATGTGGTAGTATTAGGTGTTTTCATTAGTATCTGTGGTATTATCAAGTGTCTATCATTAATGTCTGGTAATTTTAGTGGTTTCTGTTTTTTTATAATTTATGTTTGCATTTTACGTAGGTATGGTTTGCATAAGGAGTTGAATTAGAAAGTTAAGAAAGAATTGACAAAGATTGTGTAAAATCAGATACAAAGTGTGCAGGGTGTGTATAGCTTTTTGTCCGAAGAAGTTGTTGACCAAGTTCCACATCTCTTTCCCAATAGTGGGAAGGGGTAAACTTGCTATTGCTTCACAGTGGAAGCTATTAAAGTTCTGCCACTTAAAGTTCACTGTTGAAACATTTATCAAAGCAGTAAAGTAAATGGGTAAATTATTTTTTGTTTAAGAAAACTGAAAAAAATAGAACTCAATTAATCAAGACTCTATTGTGTCAAAAGTAAAAACTGAAGATATTTTTGATAGCTGGTTCCAGTAACAGTTTAAGAAAGCCTTATTGTTTTCTTAAAACATTATGAAGACAAAAACAATGAAGAAGCTTATAAAATTTGGAGCATACTGAATAATCTGTAACAAAAAGTTTATTACCATTCTGTTTTTATTTTAATAGTATTATTTAAGATAGGTACAAATCTGATAATCTGGAGTTAGCAGAATCGACAACAATGGTGTTGTCTGGTGATAAACAGTACAGACTAAGAAAGGTTGGGCCTGTACATCATGCTAGATATGATAAAGGGCGTATATATTCTGAAAATTTATCTCCTTCTATGTAGCATTGCCAACCTAACTGATTTTGAAAAAAATGAAATAAAAAATATTGTATTTTTTACAGCTATATCTTTACAGTGGTTTATAAGGGCTGGAATTCCTGTATTTGTTTCATATCAGGTGTCATTTTTACGCTTAGCAAGTTTTGAAATTTTAATTTAAAGAGTTTGTAAATTATCTTGAAGTAGTAAATGTTGTAATTTTTCTTGTATCCAACAAATATAAGAACAGAAGGTCAATTAACAAATATAAGAACAGAAGGTCAATTAACAAATATAAGAACAGAAGATTAATTAACAAATATAAGAACAGAAGGTCAATTAACAAATATAAGAACAGAAGGTCAATTAACAAATATAAGAACAGAAGGTCAATTAACAAAAAAAACTTTATAAAAGCAACTAGTATTTTCAGAAACTAATTATATAAACGGTTTTCAAATTTTTCAACATAGTAGGCCTTTTACTTAACATAATACAAATATAACGTAAATATGCTTGAAAACACATTTTGAATTTTGCGATCTTTGTTACTCAAATATTGTAACATACATGTGCCTTACATTTATATTTTTTTCTACTACGTCAAACAACAATAAAAATTAAAAAAAAAATAATGCGAATAATCCTCTCAGTTTATCTGAAAAAAGGACAAATGAAGGGCAAAAAATGAACATTAGATCTGTTGAGAAAGTCATGGAGTGGTCCAATCATGAAAAAAAATAATTCCATAGTAAGATTAATATCAAGGTTGGAACTCCTTATAGAAAACGATGTTAGTTAAAAATCATTAAAGTCATTTTTTGATTTTGAAATACCCTAATAAGTATTATGTATACTATATTATAATAAATTTATATTTTAAATCTAATGTCATATTATTTTAGTAATGAATAAATAAGGAATAAGTGAATAAGGAACATATAAGTTAATGCATTTTAATAAATGTAAATTGATTAATTTGTATTTATTAAAATGCAATAGAAAGAATTACACTAAAAGTATTTCAGGTAACAACCTATTTTTACTAATGAGTTTAGTTATCAAGTGAAGCATGTAATATTACAGTGTAATATTACATGTGTCACTTAATAACTTAACTCACTAGTAAAGTGAGAACAAAAGTCCAGGTATTATGTAAGAATAAAAAGCCATGTATAATGTGGGAACAAAGTACCAGGTACAATGTGTGAACAAAAGAACGGGTATGGTGTGAGAACAGAATTTAGTATTTTTATGATAAATTTGCTATATATTTTTTAATTTTTTTAAATTTAAATTAATTAAAAACGATCAATAAATTTTTTTTAAAGTGCCTCTTATATTGACGCAAATAGCAATTGTTATACAACTCAATTGGATTCCATCCAATTAAAGTTTCGACATTTATTTATGCCATTACCTTGCATTGCTGCTTTCCAGGTAATTTTTGTGATGTTTTGAATTTTTTGTTGTGTTTATGATCTTTTTGTTAATGATTGTTAATAATTGTATAAAATTAATAGTTGAAAGTAACAAATGAAGAAAAAAGAAACAAAAAAAAAAACATTGATGTTTGATAATAACTAAATGTAAGAGGAAAAATATTGAAACACAATACCCATAACCAGTTTATCATGTAAAAACCAGAATAAGTTTTTTGTATAAAACTTTATCATTAATCATGTTTAAGTTTGTATTTTAAACTTAAAATTTATTGATTTATAATTTTTGTTTATAGTATAGTGTAAAAGGTTTATTTGATGCTTTGTGGCTTGATATTGAAAAAAATCAATCTAAAACGAGGTAATAGTTTTATTTTTATGTAAAGTATTTTTAAAAAAAGATTAAAAACATCTTAATGATGCAGGATTCTGCTGCTTTTAGTTCAAAGTTTTCTTTTGTAATTATTCTTAATAGCAAGTAATGAGTTAATATGTATGAGTTACATCTATGTAAATAAATCCGAGTGTCAACGGAAGGATTTTTATTTATAATTCAAAAAAAAAATTTATTATTAAATCTATAAATATCAGTTTTAGCTGAAGATATCACATATTAATATTATATATAGTTTATTCATATTAAGTTTATTTTTTTATTTACTTTTATGATTAAAATTTTATATATATATATATATATTAAGGTTATGACTTTTTGACTTTTTAAAAAAAAAAATTTTTTTTTTTAAAAGTCAAAAAACTTGTATAGATTAGATGTGTTTAGAACTTTAGAACATTTTAGAAAATAACAGAATATTTTAGAAGACTTTAGAAGATTCTAGAACAATTTAAAACATTCTGGAAAAATTTAGGACATTCTAGAACAATTTAAATATTTTGGAACATTCCAGAACAATTTAGAACATTCTGGAATATTCTAGAACATTTTTAGACTATATATAGCTGCTCATCTAATTTTATAGTTATTACAGAAGCAACACATGGCGTTGCACAAGCCTAGCAATAGTAGTTTTAAGAAGAACAAGGATGCCTGGACCAATAATTTGGTAAAATTTAAAGAATCTCATAAAAGGAGAATTGTCTTTGAAAGAATATTCACTGGAAGAAAAGTGCAGAATACCTCTCCAAAAGCAAATTATCGGATGCTACCATTTCCTTGGACCAAAAATCAAAGGAAGAAAGGAGCAAATAGCAAAAATTTCCAAAGAAGTTACCAAATTGTGGAAGAATAAACTGAATTTTCCTCATGTATCTTCTTATCAAGTTATATGAGCAAAGCTTGATAAAAAACTGAATATGATGAATGTGTCAAGTGGGGAAGCGACGAACCCCTCAATAAAATTTTTTGATATTACTAAAGTGGATGGAGCATGGTTATCTTCCGAGGACAAGCAATTGTACCATCTCCAAGAGGAAAGCAAAGGAACAGTGGAATACTCTATAGGCCAAGCAGCCAGAAAACTTTCTAATGAGTCATCCAACTCATCATCTTACTATCCTGGTTTTAGTGATTCTGACTGAGGCTGACGACAGTGAATATGAAAACAATGAAGAAGAAGATGAGACAATTTTTACGCCAAGCAGAAAACATCATAAAAATAAAATTGCAGTCAACTTGGTGACCTACACAAGAGTTTTAACAAACAAAGCTGCTAACATATGCAAGCAATTGGCTCGTGAAGGCATTGACATCCCAACTCCATGTCAATCAGATATTTACAAGTCAACAATCAAAGAGGCAATCAAGCTGAAGGAATAAAAGATTGAAAAGTTGCATATGGAAAGTTGGTCTTTATACTTTGATGGCAAGCACATCGACAGAATGGATTATCAAGTGGTCGTCCTTAAAAATGAAAGAAGAGAAATCAAGTTGGATGTCCTTGGCTTGGTTGATTTTTACAGACCAACTGCAAATCGAAAACAACTTAAATAACTTGGCTGAAATACTGAAATTGGCAACATGAAAACTGACACCTTTAAATTATTAGTTAAACATGGCGCTCAACATTTATTGTGTTAATTCGTACCATATAATGTTTTTTATACATTAAGAGTTATTTTAATTGATGTATCAATTTACAATTTTTATGACAAATTTTGTTGTTATTAAAATAATTACTATGATTTGCTCTAAACAGTTCAAAGAAAAGAAAAAAATTTTATATTATAGGATTAGCTAGCAAAAAGGTCTTTATGCTCTGTTATAAAATTCTTTATGCTCTGTTATAAAATTCTTTTCTAGTGGTACAATTTATATTTTCCATTGTGTTTTTCAGAGTTTTTTAGTGTTGTAGTGATGAAGGAGATCAACAAATTGTTCGATTTGAGTTTTTAAAGAAAATAATCTAATAACATAAATGAAAGCCAGGCAGCAAGTTTGGGGTTTCCCAATACTTTTTAAAAATACTGTATAACATATCTGGTCTGTGGACTAGTGAAATTATTAGCGCTTAATTTTGTACTACTGATTCTTGGGATCTTATGCTGTAGTGTGCAGAGTTGGCAGAATAATGCTGTACAAATTAACAAGAGTTTTATAATAAACTTTTTTTATAGCAAGCCATTCTGTGTTTTTACTTGCAGATCTCTGCTGTCACTAAGGCATAACAAAAACATATGCTTTTACCCAGCTGCATTTCTTGAAAAAAACTTTTACATATATCTTGAAAAAGAGCAACAACTTTTATATTACTTCAATTCATACATTTGTGTTGTGAGAACCTGGTGGTCTTCAGGAGCTGATGCATGCTCTTGTGTGTCCTTTATTCTCACAGCATGTTTAACTGGAGTAGATGGTATATGTGACCATTGTTTAATAGTGCAGCTTTTAAACTGCATTTTGAGAAATCAATAATATGTGCCACAATTCACTTTGTAGGTACTCAACTTTAAGCACACCGAATAAACCTTTAATACCATTGCAGTAGTAAATGAGATTTATTGAATAGATAGCTGAGAGCTTTAGATGTCAATTTTTGGCAGATGTAGATATGCCAGGTGACAATAATCTCCGTTGTTTAGAATGTAATTTAAGAAGCATGAATTCTAGGTTAATCAGGTCAGCCTGACTAATAAAATTTGGGTCAGATGATGATTCATTTGTAAGGTGAATCATCATCTGACACAGCTTGCACATGATCAAGCATATTTCTGAAATTTTTGTGAAAAATTTTTTTTTTAATATGAAGTTGTTTTTTTTTAATCAAAAAATTTGTAACTTATGCTCTATCAGTAAAAACTAATTCAAATATAAACCACAGATTATATCCGTTGACTGAGTTTCAGGGTGGTAAATATGCTATATATTTTTTCCCATCTGTGGATTTCTTCAAAAAAATAACCAGTTGTCCAGCTCATAAAATTAGCCATATAATTTATCTAAACTATTTTAGTCGTTTCCGTCAATAGTAGTTTTTTGTAGTTTAAGGATATAGATATTAGCAATTTGTATTAAACATTATTAAACTTTTATAAGTATTTTATAATTATTAAAACGTGTTTTTGAATTATCTTTAATTTATTGGGAACTTTTGACTTGCATTTTAACTTTTATTCCACACATCGGCTTTAGCTTTTGTCGTTTTAATGGCGGACTATATTTATAAACAAAAAATAGTGCCTGCATTTTTTGTCCAATTTAGATATCTAGTTTATATAATATAAAAATGATATAGCATAATATCGATTTTTCATTTCCAAAATGGCGTCCTCCAAAGCAAAAAAAAATATTTTTTTAAAGATTTAAATATTATTATGCATCTGTAAACCTACATTTACAGATGCATAACAATTATTTTGCATTTCGCAGGCTTTATTATAAATAAAATATCTTCTGTCAAATATTTCTGCTGTCTTCTCACTGTCTAGAATTGAAACAAATTTGAGGCAAACTTAATATAATAGCTCAAGTTGTAAGAAACGTAAATATGACAGCATTCTTTGTCCGTAATAAGTTTACTAGGTCAAAAATCAGAATAATACGTTGGTATCAGAAAATATTAAGGCAGGTAAAAATTGTGTACATAGCTAGACTGCATCAGCCGATACCATTTCTGTCTTTTGTAGATCTGTTTTTAATTCTTGTTTAATGGCTTAGATTCTTTTTTTTGCCTTAAAAGGATCACATAACTCCATAATCCATGAAAATAATAGAAAATAGAACAACATAACTAATTGTCCAAACTTTACTGTTGCAGTTTAGTTAAGATAAAATTTAAAATAAATCTTTGACAAACAGCAGTAACATTTTCAGTGGCGTACCTACGAGGGCGGGGGCGGGGGCGGGGGCGGGCGGGCGGGAGAAGGGCTCACCGCCCCAGGTGTCATCCACTTTTGGGTGACACCCAATTTATTAATATCTTATATTTTATTTTGGTTTATAATTAAACAGTCTTACATAAAAAAATAAGTGGATATTTATTTACATGACTTACGAAATGCTGAATGCTGAAAGTTATCATTATTTAGAAAATATAATCGCTTAGCTTTCTTTGTTTCAGTAGGTTTGTGTCAACGTTTCTAAATACTGCTTTAATAATTTCGTATATAAAAATAATTACATATAATATATAGGTGACACCCTATTTGCCGCCCCGGGTGACACCATAACTAGGAACGCCACTGAACATTCTCTTTATAATTTTTTATCAATAACAGCTAACATTTAATATTTTGTCTAATGTATTTTGTTTAAAACATTCAAAAATGATAGTTGTCCAAAATAATAAATGTGGTTGATGATTTGTAGAAAAGCCAGAATGCATGTTTAGAGCAGATCCTTTTCTTATTAAATAAACTAAAGATTAGTTTGTATAAGGATTATTTTAAGTAAATAACTAAAATAATTTTAAAATTTTCATCATCAAACTTAATACATACTTGGAACTAGTCACTTGTTGGTCTGCTGCTTGAGCCATACCTCAAAATTGACTTCAAAAATACTAATTTTTAGTTAATTAATAATCTAGTCTAAAATGTGAAAATAAAATTTGAAACTTTGAAATAGTATTAAAAAATGAAATTTTTTCAATATTTATTATTAGAAACTACTCTGAAACAAAATCTTTATATATATATATTAGACAACATTTCCTACAACAAAAGAAAGATTAAAATTTACAAGTCTTAATATCTTTCACTTTATATATATATATATATATATATATATATATATATATATATATATATATATATATATATATATATATATATATATATATATATATATATGTATATATATATATATATATATATATATATATATATATATATATATATATATATATATATATATATATATATATATATACATATATGGGTAGTAAACTATCCCTTTCAATGGTTTTTTTAAAAAGCTTTGTTTATATAATTTATATAATTTTATAAAAAAATTGTTTATATAAAAAGTTAAAAAATCCATAATGAATGCAAAGCTTTCGTCTTCGTATGAAGCGCAAATAGTGACAATCAAAAGGCATATTCGTAGTAGATAGGCTTTAAACTGTTTCCTAAAATACTTGGCAAATGACTATTATATACTCAATACTAAATTTGAGGTTTCAATCTGGTACTAATTATTTTCCAATTAAATATTTTATAATGAAAACATCAAAAAGTACATGCTTTTTTATACAGTTTTGAGATTCTTATCTTGTTATTAATAGTTAAAAATACAAGTTGTAAACTAAAAACACGCACTTTTACAGGTATTAAAATAAAATTTAGTTTTTAAACTTTTTTGTTGAAGGAATCTGAGCATCGAATACCACTTTTGATTCCAAAATTGATACAGTACGATAAAAAATTAAAAAAATTTCATAAAAATCTTTTTTATGAAATTTTTTTTAAAAAAACACAACAAATTCCGTTATATATCTGCCTAATTAATATCTTTAAAGTAACCTTTTTTAGTGAATATTTTTACTAAATTTCAATACGGATTACGGAGTGGGAAGTTTTATAACGCAAATTTACCACCGTATTTAACAAATTATTGTTGTGTTAATAAAATATATTACGAACTAACATGTGTTGCATAGATTTACTTTAAGTCAAAAAACTATATATTTTTATCTTTTTTTAAATTTTAGCGAAAAAATATTACAGAATAACAATATTATATCAGTAAAATATATGTGCAATCTATCATCAATGATTTTAAAGTTAAAATTAGAGCAGTTCATTACATATGAAGATGGTGAGATATGTATTATAAATTTTAATCATAGTATTAAATGTGTGTATATATATATATATATATATATATATATATATATATATATATATATATATATATATATATATATATTAAGTTGAGTCATAAATAACTTCCGTTTTATTGAGTCTGCTTTAAACTCTAATGTCTCAATGAATATTTATTTTACTTAATCGAAATGAGCAGCATTTGAATCACACTTTTGCCAAAGTAATGCAAATCAAATAATTCTGTTGGCATAAAAATTAGTTCCTCGGGATTTGATAAAGTCGACAAAGGCTGTTTTTGTTAGAAGTTAGATTGGTAAAGGCTCTACCGGTGAGAAAGTTAATGAAGTGCTGGGGGGTATGGTGGGTAGGGCAGAACTTTGACGCTCAATTCCTCTAATTTTCGGACAGTGACTCGTAAGATGTGCGCCCACGCGTTGTTGTTGAGCAGGCTTGGATCTCTTTTGTTAACCAGTGCTGGTAGCTGCTGACGCAATTTTGTGTACATTCTGTACATTTCATCGAAAATTGTTTAAAATTGTGGTACAGTCTTAGTAGTATAATTTAGAAATGTCCAGGATAGAATATCCAGCTAAATATCTGGATTAAAAAAGAAAATTTTGAAATGTAGTTTGTAAACTTTGAAAGCTGTAATCGAAGTGGATTCAGGAGCGAGTCCAGCATTTTATGTTGTTTGAAAGAGCAAACTCCAAACATAAGCTGTAATTAAAGTGGACTCAGGGTTGATTTTTTGAATCAGTTTTAGGAGCATTTTTTGAATCAGTTTTAGGAGGTTTCAAACTTTGTAATACTTTTATTGCTTATGACCTTTTAAAATAATATCATTGGATATTTTTTTTTTAAAAAGTGTAATGTGATTGGTTAGCTTTAACAGGGTTCCCACTCCTCCTTAAAAACCTTAAATATCCTTAAAAAAAAAAACTCCTTAAAAGTCCTTAAATAACCTTAAAAAAAGTTAAAATTTGACTGCTCTCCTTAATTTCTCCTTAATTTTTTCATTTTATATTATCTAGGAAATTTTATTAAAGCAAATGGATTATACTTATCTATAGAGAAGCATATAGTTACTTAGTTACTTCTTTGATGAGTTAAAATCCTATATTTTTGTTATATATATATATATATATATATATATATATATATATATATATATATATATATATATATATATATATATATATATATATATATATATGTATGTATGTATGTATGTATGTATGTATGTATGTATGTATGTATGTATGTATACGTATTAGTGCTTGCCTATATCTTCGTGAGAGTGCTCGATGAATATAAGTAAATTAAAATAATTTAAATTAAAACAGAGCTGTATATATATATTAAAATATTATATATTTTTTATAATAAAACTACATATTTTTCACTACTTTAAGTATATATATATATATATATATATATATATATATATATATATATATATATATATATATATTATATATATATATATATATATATATATATATATTAAAATAATTTAAATTAAAACAGAGCTGTATATATATATTAAAATATATATATATATATATATATATATATATATATATATATATAAATATATATATATATATTCATATATATATATATATATATATTCATATATATATATATATATATATATATATATATATATATATATTTATATATATATATATATATATATATATATATATATATATATATATATATATATATATATATATATAAATTAAAATAATTTAAATTAAAACAGAGCTGTATATATATATTAAAATATTATATATTTTTTATAATAAAACTACATATTTTTCGCTACTTTAAATATATATATATATATATATATATATATATATATATATATATATATATATATATATATATATATATATATATATATTTATATATATATATATATATATATATATATATATATATATATATATATATATATATATATATATATATATATATATATATATATATATATACTTAAATACACCTAAATGTATATACTTTAGGCAAAAAACCATTAGCAAGATATTAAACAAACTTGATATTAAAAAGATTGTTATATGTTTTTCAATAATTGCCTTTAGATGCTTAAATATAAAAGTAGTTTTCAGGATATTTGGTTAAATATTGATAGTTACACTTCTTGGCTTCAGAAAGATAAAAATTCTAGCCTTGCAAGATGCAAAGTTTGTTTTAAGTCATTCTCAGTAGCAGCCATGGGTATAAAGGCTCTTGATGTACATGGGAGAGGAGCAAAACACATAGAGCGATTGCCTAAAGAGGGTTATTTTGTTTAGTTTAAAGAAACTTTGCAATCAGTACCACAGAAGCCTACCTCATCAAAACAATGTATTATTTCAGATATGCTTCAAAAGGAAGCAGTTTTGAAAGCAGAGTTAATTTGGTGTTTAGATATTGTTCATAGCAAATACTATTTTAGATCAAGTGAGAATAAGTCTAAACAATTTGCTTCCATGTTTCCATATAGCAAAATTGCCAGCGACTTTTCCTGTGGTCGAACAAAGTCTGGCTATATTGTAACTCATGGTCTTGTTCCTTATTTTAAAAACATTCTGATAAAAGATCTTAACCTGCTTGATAACTTTGTGTGTCTTTTTGATGAATCTTACAATAAAATTGTAAAGAAAGGTCAAATGGACTTACATGTGCGATATTGAAATGAAGAGAGTAATACTGATTGCACAAGGTATTATACTTTAGAGTTCATGGGAAAAGCTGCAGCCCCAGATATTCTAAATATGTTTAAATCCTGCATGACTGGTTTAAATGCTGAAAAAATGCTTCAGGTTTCGATGGATGGCCCTAATGTAAACAAACTGTTTTTGGAAATGCTCAACAAAGAATATCATAACAATGAATTAAGTATACTCATCGATATTGGTACTTGTGGTTTACATACTATCAATCGATCCTTACAAACTGGTGCTAAAGCTACTAAATGGAACTTTAAGAAGTTAATGTCTTCAATGTACCAAATATTTCATGAAAATCCATCAAGAGCAAGTGATTATGAAAGAATAGCTAAGGCAACAAGTTCAGATTTTGCTTACATTTTTTGTGGTACTCGATGGGTTGAAAATCAAAGTGTTGCCAAGAAAGCAATAGAGGTTTGGTCAAAAGTAGTATTATTTGTTGACTAATGGAAGTCTTTACCAAAGAGTAAGCAACCTGGATTTGGTAAATCAGGACAAAACACCAGCTTTGAAGATTTAAGTGCTCGAACAAATGAAGTTTTAGTTCCTTTAAAGTTGAATTTTTTTGAAGAAATTAGTGGCAGTCCTTGGTACGTAATATTTAATCCAGATGCAATTTTATTGCTCTTTATGTAATATATTTTGTTTTATTACAAAAGTAAAAAAATATTCTGAGATATTTTTTTCATATTATTTTTAAAATTTTGAGAAAAAATCACAAAAAGTTATTTTTAATCTTGCTGTTTTTTCTTCTAGTTTCTTTTCATTCTGATAAACCAATGACTCCTTTTCTGGTGGTGACGCTTGAAGAACTACTACGCAACTTTTATGCAAAGTTCATTCGATTAGATGTTCTTTTAAATGCCAAAACTACAACATCTTTGTTAAAAATAGATTTTATAAAATAATTAAATAAAAAAATAGTTTAATTTCGCAAACCGGTTTTTAACCAGCCAAATTGATGTTGGTTTTTCATTGAAGTATGATCTCCAGCAACTTAAGAGTAAGGGAAAGATTACTGATGTTCAAATTGACAAGTCCAAAAAAGAAATATGTGATTTTCTTGTCTCAATGTGTACTCTTGTGATCTCTTTTGTTAACCAGTAGAACAATGTCGGTCTACTCAATGTGGCTTTTCTCAATATTATTGAGAAAAGCCCTTTGTCTTCACTGGTTGATCGCTGTCTGGTGTGTATTTCCCCATCATTTATGGTTGAATATCCAGAAAAGTGTAATTATTTTTTTGACAAACTGTTGATAAAGCTTGTTACTAACAAGAAAATTAGAGCTTCTGTTGGTGATTTAGCTAAGAAAGAATGTTCCAGGTTCTGTAAAAGTGTGGTCGTTGATAACAAAGAAATATTTTTGACTTTTGATAAAGATAAGGATCGTTTGGACTACTTTTTGCGGAAATACACTAATTTTAAGATATATGCAAATCTACAGCATATTTTCAAAATTGTCTCCATTTTATTGCATGGACAAGCTCAAGTTGAAAGAGGATTTAGCAGCAATAAAAGTCTGATCGATGACAATATGTCCCCAGACACTATTATCTCTTTACGTTCAATCCAAGATTACCTCACATTTAATGGGTTCATGGCTCATGAATTTGAAATAACAAAAGATTTATTATATTATTGCAAACAAGCAAGAAAAAAGTATTTTGATGATCAATGTTTAAAAGCCCTTCTTTTTTTATTTATAATAGTTTATCTATTTATATTTAAAATTGATTGAAAAAAGAAAGATTCCGTTTTTAGTGTAATTGTTTTCTCATTAATTCTCCTTACTTTTTCCTTCAAAAAATTGTCGTTCGCGACTGAATCTCCTTAAATAATAGGAAAATATCTCCTTAAATCTCCTTAATATCCTTAATTTTAGCCCCAGTTTTAGTAGTGGGAACCCTGTTTAAGCTATGATAATTACGCGGTATTTAATTAAAAATTATGCTACTGACACTGTTCCTTAAAAAATAACGTATTTTTATTTCGATCTCTCAACCGCTATGTTATTACTCTTTGCATCAATGTATACACTACAAAATTCTCCATTGATCAGTATATACCACGACACAGTAGAATAAATATTTATTGTGGCATGGAGCTACTAAAATACATGACGTTATTAATAACTCAGCCTATTATATATTATATATATATATATATATATATATATATATATATATATATATATATATATATATATATATATATATATATATATATATATATATATATATATATTATATTATATTATATTATATTATATTATATTATATTATATTATATATGTATATATATATATATATATATATATATATTTATTTATTTATATATTTATATCGTTTTTTTAGCGACCCTTATAAACGTTGGTATACACTTACCTCCTCGTAATCATGTGCTTTTCAAATTTGAGTTCGGTGAAAGTTGTTTAGTTCGAATTGCAACAGACGACTATACTTTACTTGACGAAATCGATGATTATTTAGAAACACTTAAACTTCCAGAATAAGTTTTTTAGTTCCTGTTTATAAAAATTTTAACTTTTGTCTTTGTATGTAGACATTTTTGTACAAAAAATCTTTTTACTATCTTACGAAACCAAATCTTCATGAACATGTGTTGGCAACATATGTTTATACTTTAAAAAGTTTGATTTACTTTGCAACATATGTTTATTTTGAGCGCAAAATTTATTTATTGGATTAACCAATTTCAAATCATTCCTATAAGTAAAGTTTTTTAATAATTTAATGCATTTGTATTTTGTCGCATTGAAATCGCAATGCATAAATTGAAAAAATTATAAAAGTGATCAAGAAACAAAGTAATTAAAAATATGGAGGTTTCTACTAGAGACCCCGAATTAGAAATAAATTATTTGTCTTGCATGCTGGAACTTAAATGTGAAATTAGTAAGCGTCGTCGAAAAAGATACCAGAACGCAATCTCTTATCTTCCAGGAGCAAATCATGATACGGTAGATGAATTGCGAAATCAATCAATAAATGATTACCTTAGTGATATGGCTGTTAATTCATCATTCCATGGAATCAATTATATATGTGATAGCACGTATAAAGTGCGAAGAATAATTTGGATCGTGGTTACTCTTACGGCAATGTTATACGCAATGCGTGAAGTTTATGAAAGCACAAGAAAGTATCTTAATTACCCCGTAAGTACTGTTCGTATGAAGATCTATGTAGACGATTTAGAATTTCCAGCAGTTTCATTGTGTAACTTAAACGATGTAAGAATGAGTATTGTGAATGGAACATCTTTTGATAATGCACTTATTGATCAGAATGCCCAGAATATTTCTGCCGATGATGCTCTGATGATAGCTCGAGAAGCACGCCATAATCTTGAGGATATGCTACTTGAATGCAAATTTAATGGCCGTTCCTGTTCAGCTAAAAATTTTAGCGAATTTAATTGGATGCAAGGTGACCGTTGCTTTACAATTAATTCAGGTAAACCTGGGCATAGCCGTCTATCAGTGAAAGGTACAGGTATAAAAAGAAATTTAGAATTAATATTAAATTTGCAGCACTACGAATATTATCGTGATGAGATGGAATCTGGAATCCATTTTATTTTACATAGTCAAGAGGAAACACCAGTCAGGATGAGAGGCCCAATTGTATCTCCTGGGTTTACCACATACTTTCGAATAAACAAGATAAAGGTTGGTATTTTTGTAACCAAATTTGTTAAGTTTTAAAAGTGTTTTAAACCCAATTTAATTTGTTTATAATACAAACTTTTCATATTTTCAACAAATACTACAATGTTATAACTTAAATAATTTATAATAAATTTATCAACCGCCTATGTTATTATGCTTATGTTAAGTTTAAAAAAAAAGTTTTTTTGGCTGTTTTAAGTTTTTTTAAACTTTTTCCATTAGGTTGACAAGATATAGAGACCATTAAAAACGAATTAAGATTAGTTTGTATAAATTTTACCGTATTTTATGCCAATTTTTTACAATTATCAGCCTTTAAATTAAAAAAACTTTGGTTTAAGACAGACACCACGTGATTTGCAAATAGGTACAAACACTTTATTTAACAAATTTGAACAAACTCTTGAATTAGAACTTACCCTTAAAAACGCCCTTAGTATGCCCAGTATAAGAGAAATTAGTTTCAGAAAAAAAACTTTTTTTATGTTAAACACAATCATAATTTTTAATTAGATTTTAATTTTTATCAAAATATATTTAGGTGCTCAAAAGATAGGGGCTATTCAAAGTTTAAAACCTACTCATTTTTTGAACATTATTTTAGAAAAAAGGTCAAAAAATAAAATGCTATATTTAATTTTTTTTTAACAGCTTATCTCATTTCAACTAGAGTTTCTCATTTCCCGTAAGTTTTGTATCCCGGAATTTCCGGTGTGTAGTTTTCTATACCTATATTTATTCTATACTTATTATTTGAAATTTATTCTATAATTATTATTATTTTTATTTTTTTTTTATATTTAAATTGTGATTATAGATAAAACAAGACATAATGCCGGAATCCCGGCATTATGTTTTATTTTATCTAAAATCGCAATTTAAACATAATAACAAACAAGCAGTTTCTAGAACAAATTTGTATTAGCACACTGATCTAAATTATTTCTGGAATTAAAAAATGTTTTAAAACTTTTTAGTTTCAAAAATAGTTTTTTAGTAAAGTGTTTTTTAAATTTTTGTCATGGCATTTATCCAGTAGCCGTCCAACGTTACTAGCTTTGACACAATTTCCTCAATAACCTGCTGTTTAACAAATATTATCTTTTTTTTTTTGCATATTTCTAATTCCTAATCTAGTGTTTTTATGTGGACGTTTTATATTTGAATCAATTTCTTTGTTTGAATTTTTTAAATGATGAAAGATCTTGCTTGTAGAATATTCTTTCCACATTATTTTCACACCGTTGCGAAGTATATCCCATTATACAAGCTAGGTGGACAAAAGTCAGTTCAAGAAATCAACTAATTGATAATATTTTCACAATTCAGTCCCGTATGAGAAATAACTTGCGGTGTTTATTATAAAAAGCATTTCAGAGCAATTAGTAATACTCAGCGTAGTTAAGGAGAGATCCGAACGATTTGCATTTCTTAAAAACAAAAATTTACGTTTTTAAACTTCAATTTTTTGTGTTTTCCGCTTATTCTCAACTATTGCTGTTAAATATTTTTTTAAAGTAGAATTTAAGCTTTTCTTATGTAATTTATCATTTTTTATAAATCTTTTTTCAACCAAAGTATCAAACAAAACAAAGCTACCACTAAAATGCATAAAACGCATCGGGGCAGCGTCATAAAAACAGTTGAAACAAATGTGTTAAGTATTTACATTCCAAAAATGTCTCTTTTATTCGAAAGTAAAAAGTCTCCTTGTTTACAGAATTGAACTATTCAATAAATGGCTAAAAAGCTCATATTTTATCTATCCGTAAACAGTAAACCGTTAAAATCGAAGTTTTCACATAAGTTTTCACTCATAGTATTTTACTTCCTTAATCTATTTATAGTCGTTTGAATAATTTACGAAAAAGAAACGCTTCAGCTTTTTTACGACTTCTGCTCTATAGAATTAAGCTAAAACTTGAAACTCGTAGATAATTCAATCACCGAATATTTGGAAACAAAATAATACAATGAGCTTTGAGTTTTTAAAAAAAATAAATCAATCAGAACGCACACAAAATAAAACGGCATTTTTTAAAAAACGAAAGGGCCTAAACGCGATATTTTTCTTCGGATCTCTCCTTAACCACGTTGAGTAAGCAATTATTTAGTCGTTAAAATGTAATTTCATTTTTGAAAAAATTTACTTATTTACCGCGTTTGTAATACCATTTAATAAAGTTTTAAGAAAAGAATCATTTTATTGCAGTGATGGATTCTACTTTAGAGGGTTAGTACTATTTAACTACATTAAATATTTCATTCAGAACAGAAGCAATATGTATAAGAAAATAATTTGAAAAACTGCGTTAAAATTGTCAAATCTTTTTTTGTTTTTAATTTTTCAACTTATACAACTTTTTATATCCACATGTATCCAAGCTAACTTTTTAACAGTGTATAGCTGAAGTCCAAAGGTGTACAGCGATGTAAAAATTTTCACCACATCGATCCATATTTTTTTACAATTCGATTTCTTTCAGGACTCTCTTTCAAAAATAGAGTAAATTGAAGAGTGGCGGAAACATAATTAAGAAAAAAAAATTCTCGTTTATTTGATTTTATTTTACAAATATTTTGTGTTATTGATGTGACAGATGTAACTAGAGATTCAGAGAGGTCTTTGTACTTAAAAATCTCATGTTTGGAATCAAAATTTGCAACAAAATGGTCTGCAGTACATATTATGATGGGCTGTTTTTATAACAAAAATAAAAGTTGGTAAATATCAGCGGAGTCTTTTTTCATTATCTGGGTTTCTTTCGAGGACGGTCCAAAAAAAACTTCGAAAACTGGTCCTTTAAAACCAAAAAAGGTTGAAAACTTAGTAAAATAAGGTTGAAAACTTAGTAAAATCGCAAAGTGCAACTGGTGCTGAAGTAGCATATCGTTTGACGGGGCAAAGAAGCCAAGCTACTTTAATTAGAAAAAGATTAGAATCAAAATCAATCAGAAAAAATAAAATCATAAGACTTTATTTGTGGTGGCAGGTTGTCGAGTCGTGACTTATTACATTGACTCTAAATGTACAAGTTATTCTTTTAAAAATATATGAAAGTGGTCTTTAAAGGCAGGGCATATAGTATTTTTATCTTATTATAGTCTATGTAAGTCAAAAAAGTTATGTTATACATTCGATGAACATTTTTCTGTTACAGAAACACGTGCCGAAATTAATCTACAAGCCACACTTAATAAAACCACTAAAGCCTAATTAAAGCTAAATATGAAGTTTTTAAAAATCATTGTTTTACAATACCATTCACATTAATTAGCAAATTTAAATGTGGTTGGAGTTCCGGTCACAGCACTTATAAACAAAGATTTACAAACTCTGATGCTACTGATGAGTTTCTGTTTGTATTTTCATTTGTTCCGTTGAGACTGAGTGACGGCCAAAATATTATTTGGCGAAATCCGTAAAATTCATTTACAATCCGTAAAATTCATTTTTTCAAAAGAAACAAATGTATTTACTACAAAAGAAACTATCCAAGTTTTAAAAATTTTATCTCAACTTATTCTAAAATCTGTAAGACTCGGCGAATCACAACGTAATAATTTTAATGATAGATGAAAATTTTGCAATGCCTCGACTGACACAAATTCCCGACAAAATTGTTACATGTGGTGCGACTCCCAAAACGATGAACGGTGAACTAATAATAGTAATAATAGACTTAGTAGTTAAAAAAGAACATTATGGTTTTGGTTTGTCTACTTTTTATGCGTAGATTCATTTTTTTGTGTGCATGTTACACATTAGCTATCATTTAGATGTAAAAAAGTGCCAAGCTAGAAGCGATGAAGATAAATCTAGTGTCCAAAAACGTTCAGAAGATATCAAACAAAAATTTAAAAACTATATGGGTCTTACACCAGACAATAAGGCCCATATGGTTTTTAAAATGGTCAACTATAAACCTAGCTTAGGGAATACAAATGATAAGAACACAGATCGCAAGTTTTTTATTAAGCCAGAATTGAGTGGTATGATTATGGGTTTAGACGTCAATCTCATTAAAAATTTCAGTATTTTATTAATAACACTTTTCTCTGGCTATGATATTAATTATTAAGAATTTAAAAAGTTTTGTACTGAAACCATAACTCTTTATTTTAATCAATAGCCGTGTTACTTTATGCCTGTTCCTGTGCACAAAATATTTGTACATAGCACAAAAGTTACAAAAAATTCTTCCAATCGGATAGCTATCGAAAGAGTCTCATGAAGCCCACAAAAAAATTTGTTATTGATTCCACGAGCATCATACAAGAAAAAACTTAAGTATTTCTACAAATATAGGTTTGTTAAATATGCTTTTGGTAACATCAGATCCTTTCAAATACTTATACAGAGAAGTATGAAAACCAGTAAATTACCGTTAGAACGTAAATTAGTTAGTTTAAATCAATAAATTACCATTAGTTTTGAATTTAATTGTCCTACCTGTATTATCACCATAGTTAGTTGGATATGCAATTCTGAGTGGCGAAGCTACACTAGATTATTTAGGGTCCGATTCTTCGGATAGTGAAAATAACAATGATTCATCCAATGATAATTGTTAGAAAAATATTTCTTTTTATTTACGTTATCAGCTAAATTTTAATTGCATACTTTTTTTTTATTTTTTTGTCAAAATTTTATTATATTATTTTTGTGTTAAAATAAAGTATATTTACTACCTAGTTAACTTTTTTTCATTAAAACTATAAAAAATACTTACATACAAAAACCTAAAAAATAATCAAAAAATGCGTAACTAATCAATAAAACACCAAAATATTATTTATTACATTCTTAGGAATCAAATAGCGAAACATTCTTAAGAATCAAATTGCGGAACAAAATATTTTTTTCCGTCTAGCAATGCACTGTGCGATGTCATTAGGCCGGGTGAATAAAAATGAGCAATTGCTTTTTCTCAGTAATTGGTCAGCTTTACGTAAATAAAAACTTTAGCAATTTTTCTAAATTTTAGGATTTTTTATCA